TGCAGCAGACAAATAAATACAAAACAGCAACATAGCCAATAGGTCTGGGCAGTATTAAGGTATAATGGTATACCAGGGTATTTAGAAATCCCTATGGTATGGTTTTTACTACTGTCAAATATGTGAACGCTTCTCTTCCTATTAAACTGATACAAAGATGCTGTATTGAGGCGATGTACTGTAGTGCACAGCACTTGCCACCAGAGGTCAGTCTCCTCTGGTAGAGCAGGCAGCTGAGGTGAGACAGATGATGACTGCAAGTGGTGGGGATAATGTTATAGGACTAGTAGAAAAAGAGAAATGCCTCTGCCCATTTGGGCATATTGCCACACATAACTTTATTTTTAGATGACTTCTTCCAACTACAAGAACAGTTCATTGGGCGTGTGTGGTATCTATATTTTTTATACCTTCTTCAAATTTTACAGGGGCATGATGGTACGAGTGTGTGGCACAACCCCATCCCTGACCAGCAAGTTCGCTACATCTGCAAACTCTTCTGGCTTTCAGATTAATACATGAATATAAACCCATAAAATGACAAGAAAGTAACATTATTAGACTTATTTTCCTTATTTAATAAAGTAATACAACTGTACAACCTCTAAATTCAAGTTTCAATGTTACAGCAACTTAAGACTAACATTAGCTTAATTCTCTCATTAACTCAGCCTGAAACAGACTTCATTCAAACTAAATAAACACAAAATAAAACTCACTAAAACCGTCTTGGTTAGTCTTGTTAGTCATCTATATGGTCCACTGTTTCAGCAATCACCAACTGGTCCAATTAAACCCTTAATTCACCGTGTTAGAATTGAAAATACGCTGTTTTTCCATGTGGTCTTTTTCTCTCTGCTGTTGCTGGCCGGCTGTTTACAGTCCTGTAACGTTAATTATCCCCACCCACCACCAATCTGGAATCCTGTTTCTGTCAGCTCCTGTTCCACCAGCAGAGACCAGAGACTGCCCTCTAGTGGCGTGTATTGTGAACTACATACAATGAGTTCAACAGAAAGAGGAGTGTTTGTATTTTTGACAGTACTGAAAATCTTACGGTCGGGATTTCTAAATACCCTGGAATGCTGTAATACCGTAATACCATCACCCAAGCCTATTATCAGGCGGATGATTTTATTCAACTGTCAGTCTGCCACCACTGTCTGCACATCATCTCACTGATATGTTGGTCTGTCATCGGATCCACCAGAAAGAATCTATGGAAGACGGGTGCTTATAAGTATTTAAACCCAGCAAGACTCATCTAAGTAGGCTAACTGCATATCAGACAAACAGACTTGTAGGCTAGACAATCTCATTCATACTACAATGACTTCTGTCAACAGCACCTCAGCTTTTACTTTTTTTTTTTTTTTAATGAATACTGTCATATACTGTATATCCTCGGAAAAAGTCAGGAAGATATGGCATGAAAAAAGGTACTGCTCAAGCCTAATGGCTCAAGCCTAATGGCCAACGAATAAATGTTCATATGCCATTTACTGTATGTTCAGCCAATATTGGCATCCTCAGCTACCCTGGTGGCCTCACTTTATGTAAGTCATTCATTCTGAACTGAAATGACCCTCTCAACACAATGCATGAAAGACCTTTAGGCGACAAAAGCCAGTCTCACGTGTCATCAGTGTTTGCAAACAGTTCAGAAAAGTCAATACTTCCAGTGACTGATGCGATGATGGGTCAAATACAGCAGAGGACACATCACGCTACAACCAGTGGACAAGTGTGGGCGGCTCACGGACTGGATTAATTGGCTTCGGTATGAGGGGCAACAAAGAGACCAGTGTTGTCGGGCTTAAAACAAGCAGTTGCCATTTAAAATATCAATAAGATTAGTAGGTTTCCGTGACTGTAGTGGCATGTGCTCAAGTGCAACCAATCCACACTAATTAGTTAAACTAAGTTGAACTGACTCAGGTGGAGTCACTCCACAAATGCATTCAGTTAGGGTCACAGCAGAATCTGGTTCAGAGCTTTTCTCTCTATCATATCCCACGCAGCAGATTTCACATCACTGAAGAGCAGCAACACTGGTGGTCTCGGCTAGAAAATGCAGATGGTCGTCTCTACGGGAATCCATCTTTGTTATCCTTCAGAAACATTAAATAGGCCTCTGCAGATGATGCATGTGTGTGTTTGTGAGTGTATGCATAGGAAAGTGAGGTTCCAGGTTTCTGAAACCTGAGTGAGCATTGCACAGGGAATGCTATCCATAACATCCTACTCTGAGAGGCTCCTTCTGTGAGGGAGGTGGAGTGGTAGAGCACGGCTAGCACAGAGAGACAGAGAGACAGAGAGAGAGAGGAAGGTGGGATAGACTACCCATAGTTCTGCTGTATTTCATTCCTGCCCCCACAAGCAGTGATTAATTCTGTCCTGAGGGGAGGTGGTGACATGACCTACTACTCCATGACTACTACATGACATTTCTACTATATTCTAACTATTACATCCTGTCTGTTGGTGGCAAACTGTTACTCGAGACAACGGAAAAAATGACTGGAACAAAAGATGTGTAATCATGGGCTTCTGCGTTGGCCTGTGCTGGTAAGATGCTCAGTCAGAAGTACAGTGCTTCCTACTCAATATACAGAGACAAAGAGAAGCAAAACCTGCCCAACACAATATGGTAACTGCAAAACTAAAGACAAAAAATATGGATGAAACTGGAGTGAGAGTTAAACTCAGTGCTAATATGTTAATAATCACAGAGTCCCATGAGTCTATTTTCAAATGACATGATCTGACTAACTGAAATAAGAGCTACACTAGTTATACATCATATCTTTAGTTTTGAAGATCAAATGACAAACCTTGACCTGTCTAACAGCATATAACAGATTCCTAAATTTCAATAAGGGGAAAAACATACAGGCGGACAAGAAATTAGGATGATCTGTGTTCCAGAGCTCAAAGGCTGTTTCATGGACCATTTACCGGCAAGGATTAAAAGCAAGCATGTTGTGAGCACATGCCCTGTGCGTTCTTTGACCCTGTTAAACAGATGAATGTTGAATGGAGTACTACAGAAACAAATGGAACAGTAAACAAACTGATACGTTTTTTGAGACGGCCAAATCCGGATCATTGTTGGCAGGCGGCATCTTTGTGATAGACGTTGGATACGCACCAAACCATGACAGTGTTCTGCCTAGTCTCGCCCTACTAGGCTGTGATTGGTTGGTTTTTGTCACGTTGACACATCAGGGTCTAAAGCGTTACCAGGTTAGAGGAAAGAGATCAAGGTTAGGATTAATACCAGCTATTTACAGCACAGTAGGGCGGGACTAGGCGTTCTGTGGGTACATTCTAGCTTCAACCCAACTTTGTCCCCTGAATCCAGATCCCGAGGCATTCATAGAGTAGAAGAGTACAATATTCCCCAAGCCTGGGTCATCCCTGGGTTCTCCTCTTAGCTGGATGCGCCAGACAGGCATCCAATTAAGATTTCCTAACTGAGTTAACTGGCTCCTTTCAATTTGAAGGAGCAGTTGTTCCTCAAAGCTCATTCTGGATGTTAAAGCTCCTTAACTTGTATCTGCAGGTGAGCCAAAGACACCCTGCAAGAGAGATGTATTTCTGCAGCTTGTATCCATCACTTTATTCTTCAGTCACTAACTCCAGTATCCTTAGCCACTGGCACTGAAAACCTTCTGGCAACAACACCTAAGAGACACATCAATGGAGGGTTTCTAGAGGTAAGAGTTGGAGACTTTGTGTAAAGGGGCTTCAGCCAGATATTCACAGTTCACACTCACTGTACATTTGGGTTAAGCTGCTTTTGCTGCCACTCGACTTGACTCACCACCGGGTGTTGATTAGTCAGCAGCACTTAGTAACTTATGTTCTAATGTCGTGTTTTTATGGGCAGCCCACAACTAGTACAGAAGTCTAAAAACACAACGCCACTCCACAGGCCATTCAACCCAGTCAGCCTCTTGACATCTCCCTTGTTCACCACATGAGCTTAAAGTCCATTTGCAAAACTATAGCATCCACAGGCAGTGCCCTCTCTCTCAGTGACATGTTGGGAGCTCCTATCATCATACTCATAGGGTGTCTCTCATCCAACGCAACTCTAGAAAAGAAGAGTCCAGTCCAGGGGTTAAGTTCCAAAGCCAGTGCTGTGCATAGAGGGAAATCCAGTAATACCTAGTTGGTACTGCTTCATGCTCCGTACTAGCTCCAGCTCCTTTCACAACAGTTAGGTGATATTTCATATCTTAAGAGCCACTTTTCATAATCATGGTTCAGCACGCCATGACCTCAGCCTTGGCCTGCCACCCACTTGGCAATGCACTAGACTACTACACTTAACCTCTGAGGGGGATGACCCACATGGCATTAGCCCCATGTTATTTGTTGCCTTACCAGGTCAAATCGGTATAGCCCAGCCACAAGGGACTTGCCTACAACTGTTCAAAGCCTGGCTGCAGGAGGAGACCTTATATTCCCTATTCCAGATGAGGTTTGCCTTTGCCCAAAACACCAATTTATAGAGATCTTTTGATCGTTCTTAGTTTGGCCTCTTGCCGGGGGACCAATTTCCCTTAAGATACCCGACCTGGGGTGATGTCTCTAACATCACCGCTCCCAGGTTCACAGAGGCACACACAACCCCTAACACCACCACCACTAGAAAGTAGTGAATTTATGTCGTTTCTGAAATACTCAGACTAACAAAATTATAAGTCATTATGTAGTAGTTTGAGCTCTGCTCTGAAACCACCCACTTTTGACTCTACGCACAACTGTTTACTTGTACACACAGTTAAAATGAAAACAGCCATTCATGTGTATGTGTATACTTATTTATTGGCAAGTATGTGTGTGAATGTCTAAAATTAAACAATGCTTTTTCTGATTGTGACAGATCTGTAGAAGCTGTGGTACTTATTTGTAAAATACATGAAGTTAACTGCAGTTAGTGATGCACAGGATGGAATAAACTGACAATCACTGTAAATGAGGCAGGTTACCTGGTTTGGCGTTCTTGCAGCGGGTTTGTCCTGGTGGTTGGCGAGGATGAGGAAAGGCAGTGTGCAGAGCTGCGGGTGCTGCAGGGCCGAGTGTAGCTCGTTACGGGCTGCCTCAAGGTCCTCATCTGATGAGGCACTGTCCAATACGAAGACTACACCCTGTGACCCCTGGTAGTAACGACTCCAGTATTTCTTGATGTTGTCAGCTCCTGCAGAGAGATACAAGAACATTTTTCTATTAAATAAATAATGAATATAAAAGATGTTAGCAATTACTGCTGTAATGTTTGAAATGGTGTTCGATCATTTGGGCAAAAATAATCAGGATATATCCCATTTTAAAAGTCAAACATCCACAGTATTTGTTACACATGATTCAGGTAAAACCAAAACCACTAAGCCTTGCGGTATAAAGTTCAAACGACCTCTTTTCCTGCCAAATTTCTCGGCAGCTCCTTAGCTCATTGTTAAGACACAGGAGTGAATCTCCCAAGTCCTTTAAGTAAATACACATACTCACTGGATTATTCAAATGGAGTCTGGGCTTGTTTTCAAGGCCACACTGACACTGAGTTCACAAAGAACGACATATGGTTCCTTTATTGTGTGCTGATTTAAGAATGTCCTTTCATAACAGTTTGGCTCACAGCAACTTTATTTGTTAGTGTAAGTAATTTGAGTGAGAAACCTAAATGGTTACAAAATGTGTTCCTGTTGTTCCTTTTGTCCTTTTGCTTACTGACAGTGAAGGCAAAGCTTTTGCAGAGAAATACATTTTCACAAACATCTCCTGTGCTCTTTCTGCAATGTAGTGGCATTTGATCAGGGTCTGGTCAAATCCCACCTGCTTTGTAGCATTGGTAGAAACTAACCCCAACACCACAACCATTTCTCACCTGAAGCAAAACATTGTCATGTGATTAGTAGAGCTTAGTGGCACCAGTTAACTGCATGTCTTTTCCTGATTAGAGCCTTTTAAAAGACATTTTTAGGTCTTTCTTGCCTAATTGATAGGACAGTTGTTAACATGAAAGGGGGAAAGAGAGTGGAATGACACGCAGCAAAAGGCTGGAGGTTGGAATCTAGCCCATGGCCGCCGCAGCAAGGACAGGGGCTTTGTACACGGGGTGCCTGCTCTACCAAGTGAGCTAATGGGCGCCCCCTGATTAGACAATTTTCAGGGCAATAAAGTCCATTAAGAATCTTCAGCAACCATGCCAGTCGAAAAATAATCCTTTCAAAGTAAATAAATTTTTTCAATCAAAAGTTCCAACGAAAGAATCATGGGTGAATTCACAAAACTTTTGCCGTCGCTAAACTGCACAAATAAGAAGAAACTGTTAAAACTGGTAAACAGGTTTTTTCGTCCAGTGGGAAAAGGGCTAATTCTCATAACAGCCACGAACGGTGAACGACACCTTAGACTGTGCTGCTGAGCAAATAGCATCTCTGTGCTCCTGTGGTATCTTTCCCATATTTGAATTAGGTAGTAGGCATACATGTGACACAAAATTAGCCCCTTTCTATGCTAATAAGCCTAATCTCAAAAACAGTCTAATTCAAGAAGATCAATGCTACTAGCCACATGCAGTTACACTGAAGTTATTAGCATCTTCAAAGAGTTGGTGGTAACTCTGTCGTGCTTTAATTTCTTGTCTGAAGTTTTAAGGAATGCCTCAGCACCTCGTCAGTCGGGGCCTGTAGCTCGCGGTTGGGAAATTTCAGTTTTCTTTTTCTCTCTGCCATCGATCACTCTATTGTGTTCTTTGTACAAAGGCAACATTTACCACATACATAATTGCAATCAGATGCAAAAGGGGCAGACTGCACTTAGTTGCAAAACTTTATAGGCATGTTTGCGCTGTAATATCATTAGGGCAATAAGTTTTCTGAACTAGACCTTGACACTAGGGCTGCAACGATTAGTCGACTAATCGATGACTAATCGACTATTAAAATAATCGGTGACTATTTTAGTAGTCGACTAATCGGTTTGAGTCATTTTTCATAGAAAAGTACTATGAAAGTACCCCAAAATACTCTTGCAGCTTCTTACATTCAAATATTGGCAGCTTTACACACTCTCCCATGACGGTGAACTAAAAGCCTTTGGCACGAGTATGAAACAAGATTCTTTGTAAATTCATCCCCCAGTCTGTTTTGTGCCGGAGCTGCATCACAAACTATGGCTTAATCGCTGAAATACATTAAAAGTGATTCAAATAAACACCATATTATACCAGAGGCAATAAAAACCAGTAGAGCAACCTTGTAGGTGCTTTTACATTTCAAATTAAAGTATATCAATCATTTGAATTCATGCTGCAGCTAAAATGGCCAAGTTAATTAATTCAATACCACTTACCATAGTCCGTACTCTTCCAAAGCCTGCATAAAACAACTGCATTATCACTTGGCAAAACTCAATATGAACACAGTGAAGCTGGCAGCAACCAGACACTACAAAGACAGAGTCTGAGTAGCAGGTAGAAAACCCCACTCCACCCTGCCTACATGACGCGTCGCCTCCATGCCACATGCATCTTAGCTGTAATTTTCTGTCACTGTGGATCTGAAAATGCTCACCCTTTTACAAACACGTACACAACCTGTCCTTCTTTGTCACACTACCATTCAGTCCATGAAGAAAAAAAGTTAAGGTTAAGAATGACAGCCAGATGACAGCTTCTGCCATCGCCCTCTCTTCATTGATGCTGACAAACTTACTCAACACCATAAACCATGATATGCTATTCACATCCTACATGTTACTCATGCTCCTTCAGCACTGGGACATCTTGCTCCTGTGACTACTGGAATCCATTGTAACTGACTGAACACACGTTGGCCACAGCCGCTGATCTCCTTTAATGAGGAAACTACACATTTCAAGCCGACAGCAGGTGAGGTTTTTTTTTTTTTTTTAACTCAAAAGACAGATGTAAATTGAGGTGTCAATACAGACAGTTTGTCCTTAATGTGAAAAAAATAACAATTATCTTGAAAAAAAAAAGATGAATTCAGAACTGTGTACTGAGTGTAGATATTTTACTTATCAAGACCTTGAAGTAAGGCAGGAAGGAGGGGGAACGTTTTACAGCTAACTTAAAAAACCAACCGTCAACAACTTTCTTTGGTGTCTTAACTTCAGCACAGCATTGGCTACTGTCCTCTTTTATATCATCTAATATAAAAAACAAACAACTTGTCAACTGCTCTTACATGTCAATTACACTTCATTAACTCAGTTAAATGCTGTCCTTTTAACAACATGTTTTCCATTTAATCGTTTTAAATGTTTGTCCTACACGCTCACCAAACTTGTCAGCACTGCATACACAACTACAAAGGGTCCTATCACATTGCATACTCAAGTACATGCATTTGCTTTTAACGAGGTTGTACTTTCTCTGGTTAAAATTATCCTCCTCCGTCTGGTGAGGTTACTTCCTTTGCAAACTTGTGAACTGTTGTTTTGTTATTGTTGCTCATAGTAAGATAAGTGCCAAGAAGTGACGAACTGTGAGGCTGGCAAATGTTTAAACATCACGAAGTGCTCTCAGTGACATTTACCTCCCTCCCCTCGTGCTCTCCCTCCCGTCCCTCCCTCCCTTCCTTCTTTCCTCCCCCACTCTTTCTACTCACACCTCTCACTGGAGTGGAAAGCTATCAGACAAAGTGGCACTTGAGAGATTGACTAGGAAGTTTCTCTCATCTTTGCCTGGAAATGGTGGAATGTCCGTCACATCTTATTGGGTCTCGTTGGCAACTTCTGCCACCTATTGGCCTGACAGGAGGATTTCCAAACATGACATCATGATTCTTGGGGGGGATGCTGGCAGTCTTACTACATATCATTAATCAAATAAGTGCACCATGAGCAAGACCTCATGCCTTTGCTCCTTTTTCTCTCTTTCTACTTTTCTGCTCTTTAACACTTTTATGCATCTCTATATATAGCTTGTAATTTAATCAATTATTTAAAAACATTAAAACAGGTTTAAACTTTTAGATTTCACTGAAACCAAATAAGCCATAAGTCCACAGTGCAGCACGAGAGGTAAAAATAGCATGTCAATGGCAGTCATGTCTCTTAGTGACCCTGTCAAAGACTGACTCATCAGTTGGGAGCCTTATTGCCTCATTCACTCACTGTATGGGTTTTGACTGTATAAATGAAACAATGAATGGCTCTGGCAAAATCAAACACCTCACTGAATCATGAACTAACTTAACTCTTTGTACTCAACTCATTTAAAGTATCACACAGTAAGGTCCAATCTTGTGGCATGTTTGGTTGGATGCTCCTGAAGTCCGAGTCTGCGACTGGATTTGCAATTAAATATTTTCTTTGTATCCGTGTTCCCTAAATGTTTCGTGTCTGCTTCTAACTTAAGTCACATTTAGCATTTCCCAGAATAGCCATCAACATCCCTCCCTGTGCCTGGACTTGATGCATTTAGCTGTTGGTCTAATGTGTAGGTGCAGAGAGCAACAAAACAAGCTATCGTGTTATTAATGGCAAGAGAGCAACAATTTCCAGTCAGGACAAAATATCATAAAACATATCTTGTGGCTGCATTACATAATTGTCTACTGAGGCTACCCCTGGCCAAAGAAATCAATGTCTTTTGCTTTCCTGTGATAGATTTAATCCCTGTTTGTGTTGTTAAAGTTTTGCAAAATGGTGCATCAGCTATGGGGTATTTTTGCCTCAGTTTTGAGTGAATACGCCTAAAACTTTCTGTTTATCACCAGTGTTTGGACAAGATTATTAATAAGTTATCCTTTTAAACTTTACCACAGCTTTCCTGAAAATATCCTAACACATAGATACAATAGAATATAGAAGCAGACTAAAAATGCACAAGAAAAACAAATGTGTTTCAGTATGACTTGAACACTGCAGATATATTTTCTACATAAGACAACATGTTAGTCACATGTTACTCACGGTTTCTGTATGATTCCAACAATGTTACACTGTGGAAAAAAACAAGTGCATGATGTCAGTGTGTGACGACAGAAAGCAACCCTCTCTGGGATCAAATGGATAGAAATCTGATCTGAGGAAAACACCTCGCCCAGCCCACCCATCCCTCCCTCCCTCTCTCACTCACTCACTCAACACCAAGTGAGACTTTTTCAACCGCCTGTAGCAAATGAAGACAAGCTATAACAAGGAACTTAATTACTTATTCAATGTACA